GAGAGACATATTATTTTTTTATTTCTTCTTCCAAACACTTAAATCGACGTCATTCCTTCATTTCTCGGCGGATTGACTTGAAACTTGGTAAAGTTACACCTTGGTCTAATACGCATAAACACTTTTTTTTTTTGGTTTAGGCCTTTTTTGTGGATTTTATAGAATCAAAAATCAAACAGCCCTAAAATGTAAATTTTGGGTTCCTGTGTTGTCATACTTAAAGCAATCAAGATAAAAATTGGAACGAATATATAATTTCATGCGGCCAATACATTGACGTACAAAAAAGTTGAATATACCCATTTTGAGTTTTTTAAGTGGGTCAGAGCTCACAAAAAAAAGCACAATTTTGGTTTTTTTTTGTCAATTACTCGGCCATATTTTGACCAGTTTAGATGGGTTTCGATACAAAGATACTTTTTTACAGGTCCCACACATTGACAAACAAAAAATGTAGACTTGCCCACTTTTAGAGATTATAGGGGTGAAGATGTCACAAAAACCATCAATTTAGTTTTTGACAATTACTCCGCCGTATTTTGACCAATTTACATAGTATTTGATACAAAGATACTTTTTACAGGTCTCATATGTATACAAACAAAAATGTGGGCTATGCCCATTTTTAGTCATTTTAGGGATGGGGTCAAAAAGTTAAATAAGTTCATAATTTAAGGGATTTTAGTCAATTACTTAGCCTTATTTCGACCAATTTACATGTAATTTGGTACAAAGATACTTTTCTACAGGAAATACACATAGACAAACAAAAATGTTAGACCTGCCCCTTTTTCTGGTTTCAAAATTGACCATGTTGGGATTGCGTGGCGGAGACATGTTGCATTCACCCGCGAATGTTGGCTTCTTTAATTAAGAACATGTTTGTTTGAAGCAAGTAAAATCTAAGGTCGAATTGAATTTGAACCTGCAACTCTCGAATAAAAAAAGCTCTTCAGTTCTCACTTCAGAAAATAAACCTAATAACCCCCAAAATAGACGGGAAAGTAAATCGTGAACGTTCTCACTTCATTAGCTTTTTAGAGAGGAATGTAGAGTTATCAAACATTTCAAAGAATGAAGTGAACGTGGCTCTACATCAGCATGTTTTTGGTGTAACGAAAATACCAAGTTGATATTTAAAATTAGTTAATTACAGGAGACAGCTCGTGTATGTGGTTTGACAAAGAATAAGGATTTGTTAACTTAACAAACTGACTTCGTTGAAATCATCAGAAATTTAAAAAAAAAACAGCTTAAGGTAACTTTTATTATTTTTTATTTCCACGTCCAATAAATGACTTCTATGTAAAATATGCTTCGATTTTAGTAAATTTAATATTAGTTATAAGTTAATAGAAACGCTATAAAGTGAGAAGAAAATGTGCTTGTATATCCAAATAAGTGTTGACGAATTTTTCTTTTTTTTTTTTGCTTTTGCTATGCATTTTAGTATATCTTTAATCCGTATTAAAGACATGTGCATACTGTTGTTATTATCTATATCTTCATCAAAGTGCCTAGAAGAATTTCTGTAACTCTGTAAATTCTCTTTGAATAATTAATCACTAAAACAAACACATTATAATGACAACATTTAGTTATACAGAATTAAATGCAATTCATAACAAACCAATATTTATGTACGAGTTTTAGAAAATACAAGTTTTAAACTTATAGAGGCTCATTAACATTTGTGCGGGTAAGTTCATGTGTATGTCCAACATCATTACCAGAACCACTTGAGTGAATATAAATCCACTTCGTTAAATACTGTACTTCTGTATCGAAACCACGCCCTTTTTCTTCTTTTTTTTTGTATTTTAGTGTTCTTGTATTTTTGTGTAACACTATATTAATTCTAAAACAAAATTTGTTTAGAATTTTATGGAATCTGTTATGATTATTAATAAACGTTTGCGTTAAAACTTTACAACGAAGAGGTGTGGCGTTGAGAAATATTTTGATAATGTCTCTAGCAAAGTGAATATTACATATTTTAAAGATAGAATTTAAAAACAAAATAGATTCAATATATGTTCTAATTAGGTTTACATAAGTTAGAAAACATTGATTCTTTAAAGAACAAAGATTTAAAAAGTCTCACATAAAAAATCAGTTAAAATTGAATTCAACAAATCCTGTTTCAGATATGCGTTTCTCTATAAATAGCTTGTATTATTAGCTCTTGAAATTTTTGACGCTGGACGTTTCTGTTGTGTTTTCAGACAGGTTTTTAGAAAACTGTATATAACTCTGTATGTGTGTGTATATTTTCCATACCATTTTATCAGAGTTTTTCACAACATATATTCCCTTTTATTACCTGAAGGTTATACAATTCACAAAAAATAGGTGATGTGTTCTTGGTAGGTTTTCTTTAACTGCAGCAGCTTAATTTAATACAGTGTTTGCTGCAAACATTACTTCTTGAATTATTCGTTTTAGAAAAAAAATATTCGAATTCTTTTTCAGAATAATGGTGAAAAGATATAGGAACAAATAATATATATTTATTTTACAGAAACAACTATTTTCTGCAATAATCCAACAGCTTAACTTCAACTAATATTCTACAACACAGTTCTTTAGAATATCGATGGAAATACACAAGAAAACCAAACGACATCCATGTGTGAATATAGGTGTCATTTCAGATCCGTGGAAATTATTTCATCATCATTACAAAAGTGTATGCAAATACAATGTGTGATAACTAAGCATGAGCTTCACAAAGTTTCAAAACACAGCAGTTTTTTTTTTATGTTCTCATAGGAAAAAACTTATGTACTAGTTTACTACTACTGAATTTGACATAACATTATACCATTAACACAGAATCGATTGTTATTTTAGGTTCTAACTTTCTACAAATCAAGATGAAATCTTCAGTAAAAACGTTATGAGAAATATTAAAACGAACATATAAAACAAAATGTTATAAGAACAGGTTTTTACTGTATTTTTGACCATGGAAAGACGATACAAAAACTAAATAAAAATCCAGTACATAATGAAAACAGGGATTTTTTAATGGTTATTTAAACACACACACACACACACACACTTTCAGAACAAGATCATATTCAGGTATGAAACGCTCATCGTAGGGTGTCTCAACATGTCATCAACGTCTATGTTTTATAAGTAAATCTATTATTTTATATTGATTATATTTCTATGTGTTGTGTTTAACAACAAATGAGTTCTTGACAAAATATTTCATAGGATAGTGTGACTATAGTTCGTAGTTCGTAGGATGGTCCATTAATGAATAGTATTTTACCTTATTTGCATAGCATACTTTTTACAAATGTCTGTCTTGAAAATGACGGATTTTTCATAATAGCATCTCTAAATATCGTGCAATAATTTAAAATGCAATCTTACTGGTTCATTAGTTTGCCTTTATGGATTAACTATATTCTTATGCTATTGCTCTATCCATATAACTATGACTTTTATTGTGTAAAAGAATAGCATAAAAATATATTTAATCTATAAAGCCAAACTAATGAAATATGTGTATATCAGTCATTGAATTCTTGACAAAATATTTCATTTTACACATGTTGACAGTTACTTTATAGTTTTCTCTTACGTGTCAAATGTTTTTTACAAATGCTGACAGTGTTTCTATGGGGGGAACGGTGTTATTATTACAAGATCTTACTAAGAACAGTGTTACTTTAGGCGGACAATGTTACTACACTTCCGTAGGACTGCATACAGGTTTCAACTTGTCTCCACATATGTTTATAGATTTCATTTATATATTTCATGTGTTTTATACGTTCTATGGACGGATGGAAAATTGCGTTACTAGGGTGCTTGGGCGGATGGCGTTTCCATAAATGAATAGTTCAATAGGTTGATGACCTCATCGTAGGGTGTCTCATCATTTGATTACGCCATCAATGTCTAGATTTATTTATATATTCTAAAAAGTTACAAGTAAAGGTATAATATTAACATGACTGTTATAGCAAAGTGTACTACATAAGGCAGTTTTTAGCAAAGTGTACTACATAAGGCAGTTTTTAACAAAGTGTACTACATAAGGCAGTTTTTAGCAAAGTGTACTACATAAGGCAGTTTTTAACAAAGTGTACTACATAAGGCAGTTTTTA